GAGCAGCGGCTCAAGCGCGAGCAGGAGAGGCTCCAGCAGGAGGAGAGGCGCGAGCAGGAGGAGAGACGAGAGCAGCAGCTCAAGCGCGAGCAAGAGAGACTCCAGCAGGAGAGGCGCGAGCAGGAGGAGAGGCGCGAACAGGAGGAGAGGCTCGAGCAGCGGCTCCAGCGCGAGCAGGAGAGGCGCCAGCAGGAGGAGAGGCTAGAACAGGAGGAGAGGCTCGAACAGCGGCTCAAGCGCGAGCGGGAGGAGGAGAGGCTGGAACAGGAGAGGCGAGAGCAGCGGCTCAAGCGCGAGCAGGAGAGGCGCGAGCAGGAGGAGAGGCGCGAGCAGGAGGAGAGGCGCGAGCAGCGGCTGAAGCGCGAGCAAGAGAGGCTGGAGCAGGAGGAGAGGCTCGAGCAGCAGCTGAAGCGCGAGCAGGAGGAGAGGCGCGAGCAGCAGCTGAAGCGCGAGCAGGAGGAGAGGCGCGAGCAGCGGCTGAAGCGCGAGCAGGAGGAGAGGCGCGAGCAGCAGCTGAAGCGCGAGCAGGAGGAGAGGCGCGAGCAGCGGCTGAGGCGCGAGCAGGAGCTGGCAGAGGAGGAGCAGAAACAAGCCCGAGAGCGGGTTAAGAGCCGCACCCCGAGGTGGCAGTGGCAGCTAGAAAGCGAGGCCGACGCGCGCCAGAGCAAACTCTACTCGAGGCCCTACAGGCAGGAAGAGCAGAGGCGTCGCCAGGAGCAGGAGGAGAAGAGGCGGCGCCAAGAGCCGGAGCAGCAACTACGGGAGCAGGAGGAGCAGGCCCGCCGGCAGGAGCAGGAGGAGGAGCAGCGGCGGCGCGAGAGGGAACAGGAGCTGCAGTTACTCAGGGAGGAGGAGCAGCTGCAGCGGCGGGAGCGCGCCGGACAGCTCCAGGAGGAGGGCAACCTCCAGGAGGATCGTGAGAGGAGGCAACGCCAGGAGGAGCAGCGCCGCGACCAAAAATGGAGGTGGCAACTAGAGGAAGAAAGTCAGAGACGCCGCCGCACGCTGTACGCCAAGCCGGCCCTGAGGGAGCAGCTGAGAAAGGAAGAGCAGCAGGAGGAGCAGCTCCGGCCCCAGGAGCGCGACAGGCAGTACCTCCAGGAGGAGCTGCAGCGGGAGGAAGAGCAGCTGCAGAGAGAGGAACGCGAGAAGAG